ATTATTATTATTATTATTATTATTATTATTATTATTATTATTATTATTATTATTATTATTAATCACGTGAACCACTATTAGTGAGGCACTGCCACTCAACTAATTGTGCAGTTCATTAAGGTAATTTTGTCCACCTAAATTAATTTAGTTTTGCCACAGCAAAGGATTTGAATATTTGTGCCATTGTGACTTTTTCATTGTACATTCATATTAATTATCTATTAACTTTCACCTTTTTGTTTTTTGAATTGAATGTGTCGAGTAGGTTCTTTGTGTAACAAATATTAATTGCTATTTCAAAATGTCATGACAGCAAGCTTTAAAGCAGCAAAAACTGGGTCTGAATACTTTAGCAAGGCACTGAGTATTATTACAAGGAATCCCTTTCATGGTTCACGAACAGCATGCTGTTGCTATGGGTGATGGAAATGCAAATCTTAATTAATTCTGGTCATTTCACAACACTGGGAATAAGACTAGAACCATAATATGCACAATGTCAATTTACACACACTGTATGTAACATTTTAGCAGTGAGAATCAAAACTGAAACTATAGAGGAGTGATTCTGTGAAGTTTTGGCAGAGAAGATATGAGGAAACCTGTTTCAAGTTCTCAAAATCCTCGATGCTAATGACAGAGTCTACTCACTGGCCTTGACATTCAGCAGTGAAACACTCACCTGAGGACACAAGTGGAAATTACAGAGAAGGACATTGCACTGACACACAGAACAGGAGGGTTTCCTTTGCTCAAAGAGGTGTGGGAGTGTGGAACGTGTTATCTAGTCATGTTGTTGACAAAAATGTTTGGATTAGATTCTTGGATCAATTAATCACTGGCAGCCAAATGAACCAGTTCCTTGTAACCTTTAACACCCATCATGGAGAGTACAGCAATGAGCAGTTTTGTCAGGCATACCCCTTGAAGTCACAGATGGCGGACTGGAGCCATGAAACTGCATGTGGTAAATAAAAATTCTGCTCAATATTACAGAAGAAGGGCAGGAAGCAATAGTGTGTGTTCTTTGTTAATATTCATTGTTTTTTATTTGAGTCGATTCCAAAGGCTGTAAAGCCCTAACAATTCTGTAGGGATCGAACATTTTTGATGTCACTTACTGCAATACCTACTGCAATACTGCAGACATGTGGCAAATGGCTTTTCATTTGAAGAATGCGGGCGTGAAAATTAAGATAAGTAATTTACATATCTGCCAGTGATTTCACAGTCACCAATGGCAACCTGTCTGTGCCGTTTTTAGTGCAGGTGGTGCAGTCTTGGCAGGTAGGCACTGCAGTACGAGGAGAGAACAGTCATATGGACTGTTACAAATAATTCATCTGAAGGTCTGGATGAGCTGTCAGCCAATTCTCAGAGCCACTGAAGCTCTTTCAGCTGCTTCAGTCCATGTCACAGTCACCCATGCAGTTTTAAAGATGACAAAGTAGCTGTTTATATTTCCCAACTATGTGGAAGCTGTGAGTTGTGAAGCCCTGCTGCTAAGTATCATTTTAGATTTCGGCATGAAATCCGATCCCCATGCTCATCCTAAAGGAGTGTTTAAAGGAGAGCAGGGGGAAGGAACTTCATGTGCAGAGCTAAAGCAGACGTTGCTTTTAATTCTCTGACACACACGTCCATAAAACTTTGTGGTACATTTTAATTAGCAATTAGCCCAAGCTATGCTTTGATGAAGTAGTTACAGCATGTTACAACATGTAACATTTTATAGTACAGGCCAAGCCCAGCCACAGAGCAAATGTTTCGATTTTTTTTTCCTCTCAAAAAACAGTCACAATAGTGAAGTAAGAAATCGAAAACAAACACAAGTGGTTGCATTCGGATATCGTTTTAAATGTACGTTTAACTTGAATGTTATCGCCAGCAGATACCGCTGTAGGCATTTCCACCCCCTGATGTTTGTTCTTTTGATGTATTTTCCACCTTCTGAGTCTGCTGAGAGGATGTAGCATTTAAGCCCTGCTCTCTTCCTTTTCTCCTCTGTTTCTAAAGGGTTTGGCATGACCACTCCTGCCACCGTTGGGGGCAAGATCTTCCTCATCTTTTACGGCCTCTTTGGCTGCGCGGCCACCATCCTGTTCTTCAACCTGTTCCTGGAGCGCCTGATCACCGTGCTGGCCTTCGTGCTGAAGTCGTGCTACGAGAGGCAGCGGCGGAGGCAGGGGGTGGCGCCCCACGAGCACCGGCGGGACTCCTCCCACTCGGAGGGGGCCGACAGCCTGGCGGGCTGGAAGCCCTCTGTCTACTACGTCATGCTGATCTTGTGCGTGGCCGCCGTCATCGTGTCCTGCTGCGCCTCGGCCATGTACTCGGCCATCGAGGGCTGGAGCTTCTTTGACTCCCTGTACTTCTGCTTCGTGGCCTTCAGCACCATCGGGTTTGGGGACCTGGTCAGCAGCCAGAACATGAAGTACGAGGACCAGGGCCTCTACAGGTTCGGCAACTTCGTCTTCATCCTCATGGGCGTGTGCTGCATCTACTCCTTGTTTAACGTCATCTCCATCGTGATCAAGCAGATCCTCAACTGGATCCTGAGGAAGCTGGAGGTCCGGTGCTGCCCGCGGTGCCCGGCCAGGCGCCTCCGCGCGCGCAGGAACGTGGTGGTGCCGGGGCGACCCCGGAGCCGGCGGAACGTCTCCATCGAGACGGACGCCATCAACGAGAGCGAGACCGACGGGCGCCGGATGTCCGGGGAGATGATCTCCATGAAGGACTTCCTGGCCGCCAACAAGGTGTCCCTGGCCATCATGCAGAAGCAGCTGTCGGAGACGGCCAACGGCCACCCGAGGCCCCCGGGCTGCGGCTCCCGGCACAACGGCTTCTCGGGGGGGGTGGGCGCCCTCGCCATCATGAACAACCGGCTGGCCGAGACCAGCGTGGACAGGTGAGAGCCGGAGGGAGGCCCCACCTTCTCCAGGGCGCCACCCGAGGTTCTCGACTCGACTGACCGTTTCAGGGGTGATCCTTCCCCAGAACCACCAGAGTTCCCCTGCCTGTCCTGGACACCTGGGGCAGGGGGAGATAGGGTAATAGTTTTACGCCTTGGAATCATGCGTTAGTGGCAGTCAGCTGGATCTAAAAGATGTCTGATTGCTGGTGAAAGAGATTTTGAGTGACATCAGTTCTCTTCTTCACAGCCAGATTCACCTCCGAGGAGCATAAACGGTTACAAAGGACCCTGCAAGCTGCAGGCTACTGCTGAAGAGTTTATTTCCATTTGGTTCCGGTGTAGATGTGACGGAGTAACAGTTTTAATGTTATGAACAGTTTGACAACATAGATTCTCTCTTGAAAGTGTCAGTTTCTGTTTCTTTGAGAAAACCTTACTTCATCGAGGCATCTTAGGCGAGAGAAGTGAAACTGATTTTTTTTCCAAGGAGTGCCAGTGTTTCTTGAAGAGCCAGATTGTGCAAAAATGCATGATGTTTGAGCCAAAATGTTAATCTCTCAGGCTGATATCAAGAGGATAAGAAGAACATATTAGTCTTAATGTATCTTATTTCATAGTTCTCACGCAGCACTATCTGTTCTTCTCTGACATTCTTGGAAAGAAAGCAGAGAAGAATTGTTCTGTATGAGAAAGAACCGATCGGTGCAGTCCACTGAGACACGAGTGTAAACTCCAGGTATTTCATATCTCCATTAATATCTCCAAGGAGACACGAATATGAATCAGGCTGTCCTGGAACAGATTCATTTATTGTTAACAACTTTATCATCTTGAGAAAGGTTAAGTGAAAAATTAATGTATTGGTTTCATGAAGCCACAGAAGGAATTCTTCAGTTTTGTCATGATCATTTTAAGGTCTCTAAACAATGTGCAGCATTAGCTAAAAATTCCCTTTTCACTTAATCTCTGATACGCTAATGCAAGCGTGACCGCAGTTATCTTTTCTTACAGGAGTTCTGTGTTTCTGTTCAAAATTATAAATAGGCGAGGGAAGTGAGCTGTCTGCAGTGTAGATAAACTGACACAGAAGGTTGTTTCAGCATGTGGGTTCAGAGAGCAAAGCCCTCTTCCTTCAGCAGTGAGAGGCAGAGAAATAAAACGCAGCTGGTTTTCTTCCCTGGCTAGTTTTTAATTCTGGACATCAAAAGACACTGTCCAGGATGGTATTGTTAGAAAAAGTATTGCACTGACACACATGGGAGAGGGGGCTCCTTCAGAATGCTTCTCACACACTTGAAGGTGCTGTGAATTGTGTCCTACTTTGCCAAGAGAATATTTAGGAGCATTAATTTGTGTCTTCCCTGTTTTCTGGTCAAATTCAATGATATCTGACTTGGAAAGATGTAAGATAACATTATCTATTGATTGTACATAGCAAGAAAGGAGAAAAAAGTATTTTTTATAAAATGTCAAAATATTTGAAGGAGAGGTATTTCTATGGGATATCATTTTCATACTTGCTCCAGTTGAGAGTTTTGGTATTGAGCACTGTACCTTTCATCATATTTTATCATCTGAGTTGGTTTTATTAGTGAAGCTGATCGTACTGTTTACAAGGCATTTGCTACTGTATTGCACTTACAGAATGTAAATCACTGAAAACTGATAAAGACTCTTTTATTTGCATTCCTGCAGTCTGTTTTGTACAAAATGTTATATTTTTTATTCCTCTGACGTCTCAGGGATTCTGCCCTCCTCAAGGTTACTGCTGTGGGTATAATCCTAAAATGACAGAGACATAATTCCCAGGCTGAGGAATATTCACTGAATGGTTAGAAGGAAATAACAGATGTAGTAATCATCGCTAACAAATCCATCCATCCTCATGTAGTTCCTTTGGTCTTTTTTTTTAATCTGGTTATTATTTTATACGATCTTACCAAGAATGTTCACTGGGATCATGCTTCGATTTCATTTTTTACAGCACAATTATGATTTGACAAGATTTCCAACGGAAGTCAATGACAAATGAAACAGATTAAATTATTAAATACTTGACTTTGGATTTAATTATTGAGAACTAAATTACAGCTGCCATAAGAGTAGTTAGTTAAAATCCTGAAGCAATAAAGGGTGTCTTCAAGGTAAAGAAGATCAAGGTAAATGAGACCTACAGAACAATGAGAACAAAATATTAGGAGACAGTATATGTTTACGAAAACAAGAAGAATATTATATTTCTCATCATGAGTGACACACAGACAGTTATCTCTCTGAGGCACTGGAACAGAGCTGTGTCTCATTTAGAATTTTAGCACAGAAAGGAAGCCCATTAATGAGAATGATTGAAGTTGAGTTAATTTATTTTTAACTGATTAGGGTTCAGTACAGTGCATTTCTGTTTCATCAGATCATCAACACTGTGATGTGAAGTTACTCTTAATTCAAGTATGTGCTATCCACAGATGTTGGCAGAATTATAATGCAAACACAAGAAGAATTACACCTGATATCAATGCCATTGTCCAGGTAGTGTTCAGAATCCCACATACTGAATATAGCACAGAACACGACTGAATGTCTAAATGTATGTAAATATGCATCGTGCTTCTGTCATGTCAATAGAATTGCAGCCAGTTAAAGACACCTTTTGAAAAGCTCACCAAGCCTGGATGTTCCATCACAGTGCAGTACAGCAGAATACATATTTTAAACAGCTACTTCTATCTATTTTATGAGCTGGAAAACATTTTTACTCTCTTCAGTCCTACAACATGAAAAAGACATACAGACACTGCTTTAGGTACAGTTCCTGTGCTGTGAAGAGCGTGCAATGTTCACAGGAGTTTATAGACTCGCATGGCACAGAACATTGCTCTCGGCATGTGCTTTCCTGCAGAGTTCGACACAGAGATCATGGCACGGTTACTGTGGAGCTCTCCTGTGGTCTGTCACGGTAAAAACTGAGGTAAGTGTGGTTAAAGTAATTCAGAATGATGTAAGACACAGTACACACCTTGGTAAAATGCAACGAATACAGGGATGGAATGTGGTAAAACCAAGGACAATCTGCAAAACCTCAGTACAGATTCGCCACAATAAAATAATCGCAAAGGACATGTGGTAAAACTCTCCTCTTTTGTGCTTTATACATTTTGCTTCCGGTTGTTTAGCGACCCACCTGCTAGAACGTCTATTGTCAGATATTTCCTGGCAAAGCCTACCCAACAGTTTTCGAAGATTCAAGATCTGTTTAACCACCTGCCAGGATGTGACAGCGTTCTGAGAATACTTCCGACAACAACAACAATGAAAAATGAAAACCATGAAAAATGTTTGTCAGTTCAGGGCTTGTCTTGGTATTCTGAAAGTGTCCATAAGACAGTGAACCCTAATGCTCATCGATGTTCCACCCAGACACAGACAGCCTCACCTACGTTTAGTCTAGTTACATTCTACCTTTAAAGGGAATGGTTTAGCATCTTGAGAAGGCCTTTAGTGAGTGCTAATCTGAAAACCTGATATCTCAGATTTCGTTTTTTACAGTTCTGACATTAACACAGTGATGGACCCGACAAACCAACACACTTGAGGCAGAACTCTAATTGCAACTAATATACTTGTCAGATGACAAGATAACAAGAGATCATCCTGGAAAACTGCAGGAGGCTCCCAGGGGCATTCTCTGCTGCGAGCCTGGGAGGATTTAATTAGGACCGTGTCTGTCATTCTGGAGTTGGGAACTCGGAGCAGCTGAGCGCACGACACGATGGGATTCTGGAGAAAACAGTCGGCCCCACAGATTCCTCTCAAACGCCTGCAGTTCAGTTTTTCCTTAATGAAGCTGAAAGTCTTCCTGCAGATCGCTGGTGCTCTTCCAGGTGTCTTGTTTCCTGCATCATGGACACCTCGATTTGTAGTCTGTTATAGATAAGCCATTAAAAGGTAAATCCAATATATTCTGCCAATAGAATAAAGCATAACTGTTTCATAAGCCCAAAAATAAGAGGCCATCAAGGCTGATTGTTGTCATACTATCGACACATTAGATTGAAGGATTACAGTACAAATCCACCCTATGTCAGGGTTTGTATGTCTCTGGGTTTAGGATTATAGCAAGCTGTAGTCCTGGGATTGACCTACAGTACAGGACAGGTTTGGTGAAACCCATAGGTAGAGGAGGACTAAAGTATGGGTTAGGGTTAGGTTATGATCTGAATTAGGGTAAATGAGAAAGGCTGCACAACGTTTCACCACACTTTTTGGAGCAACATTAGTTCAGGCTCTTAACCCAAACGATAGCCTTTAATTTAGGCCAACTCCTATCTGGAAATTATGCCTGCCTTTGTACAAACTGTCCCCCCAAATTAAGACTCTTGCAACTCTGCACTGTAACAAAATGGCATTCCCACAGTATATAAACACCTGTGTCTTCAGAAATGTAGTTGCAGAGAATGGCTTCTGTGGTTTAAAAAACAGATTTTACCATTAGTAAACCACAGCAACACCGCTGAACATTCAGAAATGGCAGTTAGCTTTAATATTCGTGCAAACAATTCTATAGTTGAAATTCACAATGCTATCAAAATTTCAAGTATCAGAACAATTCTGTCTGAACAGTCAATATAAAAGAGAATAATGTGAAACATTATTAAGAACCTGGAGTGGTTTGAATTTTCTGTCCAAATGGCACTTCTTCTGGGTGAAAATTCCAATAAGCAATTTCAAAAGAGATTTTAAGTCATGATCACCAAATGAGTTTGATTGTATAAGTTTAAAATGCTTGAGATGGGAGAGCTCATTCCTTTTTCTGTATTCATTTGTCATTATCTCCTGTCCCTAGAGGATATGCCAGTAATGAGGTGCTTAATATACCCCAGACGATTTGTCTGTTAATCTTCTCTGACAGAAAATCCATTTCCTTAAATCTGCTTGCTGCCTAACTGCTGTGATGTAGTCAATTGGTGAGCATATCAGGCTGTTCTGTAGACTAATGCACTGCATTTTCTTGAAGAATGAGTGGGTGTTTGGTAAGAAAAAGACACCTGAGTCATGCTGACTGGAGCTGTGAAGCGTGGGGGTGCAGCAGATCACAAATTTCACACTGTCGTCTCACGAGCACCAAAGTTAGCCCATCGTCACAGCTGGGATGAAATATGGTGAACCAATGATTCAAAGTATTCGTTTGCTAAAATAATTTCACTATGTGTCATGGTTATGGATACTATTCTGCAGAATGAAGTTATTGAACATAATCTCGTTCAGGAATGACGCTTGAACTAGTAGCTGCATTTTTCTCCCTTCGTCAAACAGTTCCAAGGCCTCCTTTAAATGATCATTTTAAAGCAAAGAGCATTAGAGAGCATGGAAGGAGACTAGTGGCCAGCTCATCTGAGAGTCCTGTCCTGCAGATTCTTGAGGACACAAGGGAAGGGAAACGGTTCCACAACATGGTCAGGCAGTTCATTCCAGGACCCCAACTCCTTGGTGTTCTTCAGCTCTAAATACAGACCCTGGAAATCAGAGCATCTGCAATTTTACTTACTGCAGCTGTTGTTGAAGCAGCTCAACTGGCTTTTACTCCTCAAAGCTTCGCTTGGAGTGATTTCAACTGTTTAAACCACCAGCAAACTCC